AGAGGAGAGGGAGAGGAGGAGCGAGCGAGGAGGAGGGGAAGAGAGATGAGAGTGGAGAGGTGAGGAGCATAAAGCAGACGGGCAGTAGAAGAGGAACGAGAGCGAGACGAAGAGAGAGTGAGGCCGGAGAGAGAGAGAGGGGGAGCGAGCGCGATGAGAGGAGAGACGGAGAGGGCAGCGAGGAGAGGAGAGATGACGAGAGAGAGAGGAAGACAGAGAGAAGAGGAGAGAGAGAGGAGAGAGAGAGATAGAGACGAGACGAGACGAGAGAGTACGATGAGAGATTGAGAGAGAGCAGGAAGGGAGAGAGACAGACAGACAGAACAGACAGACCAGCACAGAGAGAGAGAGATGAGACCTCATCGGGAGAGAAGAAGAGCCAGGACAGATAGACAGAGAGCAGACGAAGAGAGTATGCAGAAACAGACCGAGACGTAGGAGCTAGAGAGGGAGAGAGAGACAGATAGACAGATGAGAGGAGAGATGAGAGAAGAGAAAGCAGGAGAGACGCAGCATGAGATGAGAGACGAAGTGAGAGAGAAGACGTGAGAGAGAGAAACAGAATTAGACAGAAATTGAGACGAGAGAGAGAAAAGGTAGAGAGAGAGGCAGACGAGGAGAGAGAGAGAGAGGAGAGAAGAGAGACAGATAGACAGAGTAGAGAATGAGCAGAAGCATAGACATTAGATAAAATAAATGTTGTATCATTTACCCTTTATTTCACGTAAACTACTACCGACACATTTGCTGTTTAATGATAATAAATCCGTTCCAGCTTGCTGCTTAGGTTATTCTTTCTGCCATTTCTTTTTTTTTTACGGTATATAATGATAAGAATGTTGTTTAAACTAAACCATCACCATAAACCACCATCACCACCGTTAAGAACATCTTTCATTACCACAACACATCACCACTAACATTACCATAACATCATCATCACCGTCATCCACCATCACAACGCACCATCGCAATCACAAATCTCACCAATGCATCACCATCATCACCATTCCTTACCACAATCAAATGTCTCATCACATCATCACCATCACCACCATCGCCACCACAAGACCATTACAATCCAGTCTCACCAATCCCATCACCATTCTCACCACAATCAAACCTCACCAAAGCTATCACTACCATCACCATCACCACCACAACGAAATCTCACCAATGCCATCACGACCATTTCACCATTCTCACCACAATCAAATCTCATCCACAGTCATCACCATTCATCACCATTCTCAGCACAATCAAATCTCAACCAATGTCATGCAACACCATCACCACCACAACGAAATCTCACCACTTTCATGCACCATCACCACCAACCATCACCACCACAACACCGCCCATCACCACAACACCGCCCATCACCCACCTCACCACCACAACACCGCCATCACCACACCTCACCTACAAATCACCACCACAACACCGCCCATCAACCACCACAGCACCGCCCCATCCCCACACCCTCACCACAACAACACCGCCCATCAGCACCACAACACCGCCCATTCCCCCCCACCCCCACCCCCGCCAACGGCCTGCCTGACGCCCCGCCTCCTCCTCAGATCCCGTGACGAGTATATCTGACCGGCTCCCCAGCCTGCGCAGCTCGCCAGGGCCGCGCCCATGATCCACTCGCCGCTGCAGCCTCTCCTGTCCTGCCGCCCCCCCTATCTCAGCGGGTGAGTCCAGCGGTTTGATGTGGGTCTTATCTTGTTTTTTTTTTTTTTTTTTTTTTTTTTTTTTTTTTTTTGCTATTTTTTTTCTGGGCGGGGGGTCGTTGTTTTTTCGTGCTTTTGGTGTTTTTTCGTTGTTTTGTTCATGGTTTTGCTTTTTTCGTGTTTTTTTCTTGTTTTTGCTGTTTCTTAGTGTTTTTTTCAATGTTTTAGCTCCTTTTCTATTTTTATTTTTTATTTACTCTTTTTGCTGTGTTTTCAGTTTTGTGTGGGCGGGGTTGCTGTTTTTTTCTTTCTTTTCTGCTTTTTCTGTTTTTTTCATTTGTATCTTGAGTGTTTTAGCGAAGTGTTTGTTTGGTTTAGTTTTGGTTGTGTAGGTTATGAGGCGCTGTTTTTTTGTGTGTGTGTTTGTTTTGGCGATGTAGTTTCTGTGTCTCGTTTTGTTTTGTCTGTGTAATGATGAGGCTTGCTTGTCGTATCTCATTTCGGTTGCCATCCTTGTCTTAGTACGATTTCGTAGATTTATCCTTAAGGAGTCGTTTGTTTGTTTGTTTGTCGATGTTCTCATCTTCGTGGTTAGTTTTCTTATTCACTTCTTTTCCTCTTAATCCGTCATGCAGGTTTTAGTAACGAACCCGGTCTCTTGTTATCATGGTAGTGATTTACGTTCTCTCTCTTTAATCCTAATTGCCTTGCCTATGTTGATGTTGCGTTCGTCTCTCCTTTTTCGTAGTGCGAGAGGTCTTCTTATCTAAAGTCCTTAGAAGTGATCTGGTCTCCTTATCGTTTTAGCGAATAGATTTTCTTATCTAAGTCATCCTCCTTAGATGTGATCTGGACTCCTTATCGTTATAGCGAGTAGATCTTCTTATCTAAGTCGCTTTCCTTATAATAGGAGTGATTTGGTCTCCTTGTCGTTGTAGCGAGTAGGTCTTCTTATCTAAGTATCCTCCTTATTTTAAAAGTGATCTGGTCTCCTTATCGTTGTAGCGAGTAGGTCTTCTTATCTAAGTCATCCTCCTTAGAAGTGATCTGGTCTCCTTATCGTTATAGCGAGTAGGTCTTCTTATCTAAGTCATCCTCCTTAGAAGTGATCTGGTCTCCTTATCGTAGAAGTGTCTTCTTATATCGGGTCTTATCGTTATAGCCGAGTAGTCTTCTTATCTAAGTCATCCTCCTTAGAAGTGATCTGTCTCCTTATCGTTATAGCGAGTCGGTCGTCCAATCTAGGTCTCCCTCCGCACCGCAATAAGGCCTCGATCTCTCGTATTTCAGGGGTCAAACGAGGTCATTGTTTATCTTAATCACGTTCCTTATCTTTATTGATATTCTTTCTTATCTTTTTTTCTTGGTCGCTCTCGTCGTCAGATTAGCAGCAAATCATTCTCTGTTCTTATCTTTATTCTTATTTATATATTTTATTTATTTATTTATTTATTTATTTATCTATTTATTTATTTATTTATCTATTTATTTATTTTTTTTTTTTTTTTTTTATTATCATTAGTGTTAGTATAACTGCTGTTTTGGTGTTCCTGTTATTTTAGCATTAATATCATTATCATAATTAGTTAAGATCATTATTCCTATTGTTGATTATGAATTTTGTTGTTAGCGATAATAGTAATATGATAATGGTGTTAATACCTATATAATTTATATCAGTATCATTAATGTTGCTGTTGTTATTGTATCATCATTCTTGTTATTTTTACGTATGGTAAAATTGACATTATTGTTATGAATTTTTATTATTGTCAAGATTTTGTTATTATCATTGTCATTTTTATTATTGTTATTGTTATCATTATCATTATTATCATTACTATCATCATCATCATCATCATAATCATTATTTTTTTTTGTTATCATTATCATCATTATTATTACTATTCTCATTATTCTCAATATCGTTATTACCATTATTGTTATCATCATCATTACTACTAGTACTGCTATCATATTATTATTGTCATCATTATTGTTAAAATTCTTATTTTGATTATCAATGTTATCATCATTAGTAGCAGTATCATTATTACTTGTTATTGTTTTGTTAATATCAGCAATAATAGTAGTAGTCGTACTGCTGTTATTAGTTTATCATTATTATTATTACTATCATCATGATCATCGTCTTCATTATTATAATGATAATCATCATCAATTTGCTATCTACCATTGCATTATTCATTATCATTATCATTATTATCGTTATTATTATTTATTATCATTATTATTATCCATTATCATTACTATCATTATCATTATCATTATTAAAATCCTCATCATTATTTTCATTATCATTATTATCATCATTACCATCATCATAATTGTATCTATTATCGCTATTCCCAAAAAGACAGTCACTTAACGCCCCCCCCCCCCCCCTCTCTCTCTCTCCCACGCACAGTCTACGGCAACGTGGGCGGGATGGGCGGCGTCCCGCTTCCCAGCACTTTCCCGTGGGCGGCCATGGGCGTGGGCGTGCGAGGGAAGCCCAGACGAGGGATGCTGAGGCGGGCGGTTTTCAGCGACTTCCAGCGAAAGGGATTGGAGGACAGGTTTCAGATCCAGAAGTACATCAGCAAGCCCGACAGGAAGAAACTGGCGGAGAAGCTCGGGCTCAAGGACTCTCAGGTGAGGGAGGAGGTGAAGGAGGAGGGGGTGGAGGGGGGGAGGAGGTGGAGGAGGGGGGGGGATGGGGTGGCAGGGGAGGGGGTGGAGGTGGAGGAAGGGCGACAGTGTTTCAGATCAGAAGTACATCAGCAAGCCCGACAGGAGAACTGGCAGGAGGGCTCTCTCAAGGACTGGGGGGAGGGGGGGGAGGGGACAGGCTTGTTCCAGATCCAGAAGTACATCAGCAAGCCCGAACAGAAGAAGCTGCGGAGAAGCTCGGGGCTCAAGACTCGCAGGTGAAGGGAGGAGGTGGAGGAGGAAGGGGGGGAGGGGAGGAGGAGGTGGAGGGGGTGGGGATGGGGGTGGAGGGGGAGGGGGTGGAGGTGGAGGGAAGGGCTGGAGGACAGGTTCCAGATCCAGAAGTACATCAGCAAAGCCCGACAGAAGAAGCTGGCGGAGAAACTCGGGCTCAAGGACTCTACTCAGGTGAGGGAGGAGGTGGAATGGAGGAGGGGTAGAGGAGGGGGTGGGGGAGGTGGGGAGGCTGGAGGAGGGGTGGAAGGGGCAAAGAGGAGGGGTGAGGTTGTGACTGCCTAACCGGGGAGGAAGGGGGAGGTTGGTAGGGAAGGGATTGGAGAAACGGAAAAAACACGGGCTCAAGGACTCGCAGGTGAAACGCTGGGCCCTTCCCTTGGGAGGGGGCCCGGTATGGGCCGTCTGCGAGTTAAATGAGGGAGAGGAGGGGGAGGAGAGGGGTGGAGGGTAAGCCCTAAGTAGAAATGCCTCTACCTCTTAAACCCTAAACCCAACTTTCCCTCCCAACCTTTCCCCTTCCCCCACTGTCCCTCGACTTCCCCTACCTCCTGCCACCCCCTGCACCCCTTTCTAACCTGACCCGAAACTTTCCCTACCTCCCTACTCCGCCACACCCTGCACTCGCCCTTCTAACTACCTCCTAACCTAGAGGGAGCCAGGTGGAGGAGAGGGTGACAGGAAGCGGGCTGGAGGACAAGGGTGGAGGAGGGGGTGACGGGGAGGGGAGAAAGGTGTAGGAGGTGGAGAAAACGTGAAGTGTCACGCTGGAAGGGGTGGAGGAAGGAGGGGAAAGAAGCGTAGCACAAGGCCGAGATAGAGGAGGTGGATTTGGGGGAAGGGGACCAATGCACGCGGAGGGTGAGGGGTGGAGCCCCTGTATGAAGGATGATGGGGAGGAGGAAGGGAAGAAGGAAGAGGTGGACGGGGGAAGAAGAAGGAAGACGCCGACGGAGAAACTAGGTCCTTAAGTACTTCCGAATCTAGGGAGAATTGACAACTCAACAGTGTAGAAACACGAATGGGGCGTCCCGCCGACGACTTCGGATAGCCCACCATCGACGCGCCGAGCTCCACCCGGACCGGAGAGGCGAGGGCGCGTGGCAACATACAGCACAGGGAAGAGGATTAGGCATGTGGGAGACGGAGAGAGAGGGTGGCGCCTGGGCTCTGCGAAAGGCCCACACCACCGCAGCTCGGGGGCGAGACACCAGGAAAGTAAGGATCACAGGCTCCCAGCAAGTCAGGAGCACAGCGCGTTCCCCCAGCAGGGAGAACGATATAGCGGTCAAGGCCAAAGGTACACACAAAAAGCGGAGGGGAGCTTCTGGGAAAGTCTGCGCGATTGTGTTGGTGGGCGTAGGGAGAGGGCGGTCACGAGCTGTGCATCGTGATAGGGGCCCCAGATGTTAGGTGTACTCCGGTCGTTGTAAACGAATGATGTGGTTGGGGGAGGGTAGAGGGGGGGAAGGGTGGGGTTGGGCGGGATGGAGGAGGGTGGGTAGGAAAAGAGAAGAGGAGGGTGGGGGGGTTGGGGGTGGGTGGGGCGTGCAAGGAAGAGGCGATGGAGGAAGGGACGAGTGGGAGAGGAAGGGGAAAAGAAAGAGAAGGGGGGGGAAAAAAAGGGGGGGGGAGAGGTGGAGAAAAAAAAGAAAAAAATGGAGAAAAGTTTATGTGGTGGTGGGGGAGGAGATCGGCGAAAAACACTCATTGAAAAAAAGGAGTTGTGGAGAGGGATTTTAAGGGGAAAGGTAGAAGAGGGAAGGGGAGAAGAGGGGGAGGTGAGGGAGGGGAGGAGGCGGGAGGAGAAGAGAGGCAGGAGAGAGATGGTGGGAAGGAAGAGAGGAAGAGGTGAGACGGGATAGGGAAGGGGAAGGAGAGTTAGGAGAAGGACGAGATGGATAAAAAGTGGAGAACAGAAAGAATGGAGGATGAAAGGATAAAGTAGTGCGAGATGAAAAGAAAACAGCGAAAGAAGGAATAAGAAGAAAGGAAAGAAGAAGGGAAAGCGGGAAGCGTAATATAATAGAAAAGAATAAAAAAAAAAAGGTAGGGTGGGGATGGGGAGAGGGGTGGAGGAAACGGAGAAGTAAGGGGAAAAGAGGAGGGAAGGGAGCGAGAGGATGAGAGGTAGTGATAGGAGTGTGAGAGAGGGAGGGGAAGGAGAAGGGAAATCTGATTATTTGACAAAAGCCAACGAAGCGGGGAAAACAACACAAAAAGAAGAATAATCATGTCAAGAAAAAAAACAACTAAGGAATAATTCTGGGCAAAATGGTAACGAAAAAATACGACGAAAAAGAAAAAAAACCAAAAAAAAAAAAAGAAACAGACGAAAAACGATGATACAATACGATCAAATCATACAAACACCAGATACCCGAGATCAACAGGCTACACAACACAAAGAAACAACTTACGACCGCGAACAGACAGATCAAGAGACACAGGTCCGAAAACAAACAAAAAACGAGCGACAGGCAACACTCAACAGCAGAATAACAAAAACAGAACAAAAAAAAGCGAACAGAAAAATGAGGGGAAAGGAGGAGGAAACGAGAGGAAGAAGATACCGGAGGGAGGGGAGGACGAGAGAGGCAGAAGGGAGGAGATAAGGGGAGGAGAGGAGGAGAGGGGAGGAAAGGAAGGGAACAAGGGACGGAGAAGAGAGAGGGGAAGGAAAGAATAGAGAAGGGGAGGAGAAGAGAGGAGGGAGGAAGGAAAGGAGAGAGGGGAAGGGAAGAGAGATAGAAAGGAGAGGACAGGAGGGAGGGGGAAGAAAGAGAGAAAGGGAGGGAGGAGAGAAGGAAGGAGAGGGGAAAGGGAAGAGAGATAGAGAGTAGGAAGGAGACGAGGAGAAGGGAAGGAAGGCAAGAAAGAGAGGAGGAAGGAGAAGAAAAGAAAGAGAGAGAGAGGAGGAAGGAAAGGAGGAGAGGGAAGAACAAGAGAAGAAAGAGAGAAAGGTAGGAGAGGAGGAGAGAGACGAAAGAATGAGAGAAAGGAGAGAAGAGGTAGGAGAGAGAGAGAGAGACGAAAAGAACGAGAGAAAGAGAGAAAGGTAGAGAGAGGAGGAAGAAAGAAAAAGAAAGAGAAAAAGGGAGGAGAGAAAGAAGGAGACGAGGTGGGGGGGGTGGGGGGGAGGGGGGAGGGGGGGGGGCGGAGCCCCGGAGAGCCCCATTCATTAGCAACAATCACAGGCTCCCAACATCTGGCTCCTCCCCCCCCCTTCCCCGTTGGCGTCTTCCCCTATTTATTACAACGGATATTATTACCGTTCTGAAAGAGGAAGAAGGAAAGCGAAGAAGCAACATTTTCTGTCTAATTTTCATCTTTTCACCCTCTTCGTGTCTCTTGTGCTGAATACGGAGCACGGAGATAAATAGGTGTTAAATAAATAATAAATAAATGGTAGATAAATAATAAATAAAGTTGATAAATAGGAGATAATATAGGTGTTTAGAATATATTCATAATTTGTTTGGTTTGTGTGTTTTTTTTTTGTTTTGGTATGCTGTATGTGTGTTTGTTTGTGTTTGTGTGTGTGTGTGTGTATGTGTGTTTGTGTGTGTGTTTGTTTTTGTGTGTGTGTGTGTGTGTGTGTGTGTGTGTGTGTGTGTGTGTGTGTGTGTGTTGTGTGTGTGTGTGTGTGTGTGTGGTGTGTGTGTGTGTGTGTGTTGTGTGTGTGTGTGTGTGTGCGTGCATGTGGGAATATCGCTGATGATGATGGTGGTGATAATTATTACTTTTCTGATAACATAATCACGGTTAATTGTCATGAGTTTTATATTTATTGTTGAGTAAACGGTCTTAATTGCTGCCAGAAATCTAATCTTGACACTGGTGATAAAATATAATGAATAATGGTCATGGTGATGATGGAGGCAATGACAGTAATGATGATAATGACAACAATAATGATAAGGATAAGGAGACGAGCAAGAATTAATGCAGTGACAGTCATGGTGATGATTATAATGAAATTGATAATGTTCTTTTAATGATAGTTATTTTGATAATCACTGTAATTAATGCAATAAAAGTGATGGTAGCAATAACTAGCGATGGTAACTACAGAGAATATAGATACTAATAATTATATTAGTGATGATAGTGATAATAATCATGATGATTATCAAAATAATACTCATAATGCCAAGAATGAGCAAACAGTGATAGTGATAATGTCGTTAAATCACACGTAAAATAATAATGATGGTGAAAAAACATATATGATGATGATAATGACAATAAATAATGATAGAGACAACTACAAAAAGAATAATATCAACAATTATGATATGGGTTATACTGTTCCTGTTAACGATAGCAGTGACAATGATAATAATAATGATAACGATTATTATTATCATTATTATCATTATCATTATTATTATTAATTATTATTATTATTATTATTATTATTTATTTGTTTATTATATTATTATTATTATTTAATTAATCATTATTATCATTATTATTATCATTATTTATAATTATTATCATATAACTAAATGATAATGATGCTAAATGATGATAACAATATGTACCATTGATAATCGCAATAATAATTGTAAAGAAAAATATAAGAATGATGATACTACAAGTGTGATGATAATAAAACAAGTATGGTTAAGAATAATGATAATCATCATGATAATATTCATAATACTAATAACATTAAGATGATGATGGACATAAAGATATTGACGAAAATAGTAATAACGATGAAAATTATGAATATAACAACAATAATAATAATGATAATGGTGATGGTAACGATAACAACAACGATTATAATAAAGATAATGATAACATTTATGATAATAATAATAATGATAGTAGTTGTAATAGTAATAGTGATAATGATAATGATAACAACAATGATAGTGATAATAATTATATTGATGATTATAATAATGATAATAATAAAAAGATAATAATAGTAATGAAAACCATAATAATAGTATTGATAATGATAATGATAATAATAGTAATAATAATGATAATTTAATATAGTATTATGAATTACGATAAAAAAGTAATGATAACAGTAATAACAGTGATAACGATAAAAAAGATAATAATAGTAATTACAGTGATAAAGATAATGATATCCTTAATGATAATAAATAAAATAAGGCCCAAGAGCAGATTAGATGAACCAGATAACGGTGATAACTTAGACCGACCAAAAATGGGGTCAGAAGGAGGAGAGAGAAGGAAGGATGAGGGGGAGAGGCGGAGGAGGAGCGGAGAGAGGAGAGAGAGGGCGAGGAGAGAGAGAGTGAGTGAGAGAGGAGAGATAAGAGAGAGAGACCACACAGAAGAGAGAGAGAGAGAGAGAGAGCGAGAGACAGAGAGAGAGAGAAGAGAGGAGAGCGAAGAGAGGAAGAGAGCGAGATAGAGGAAGCGAGGCGAGAGAGCGGAGAGAGACAGAAAATCGAGCAGACACTCGGCCTAACGAGAACACCCGAGCACATTTTAGCGAGACGTCCCGCTTCCGGCCTTCGGCTGTAAATTCCCCGAGGGCGAAGCAGGCAGCAGGCCCAGCAGCAGAAACAGCCATAAATCACCACGGTCATAACAGCACATTTTGGCGAGTTAACGCCCACTCCATCACGGAACAGCTGGCACCAATCGCCGGGAGACTTACAGCTCCATCGGGCAATCAACTTTCGTTTTACATAAGGTTGATCAGCTGGATGGATGGGACTCGGGTTTTGTGTGGGTGTGTGGGAGGGGGTGGGGGGTGGGGGGTGGGGGTGGGGTTGTGGGGTGTGGGGTGTGGGAGGGGGTGGGGTGTGGGAGGGGGTGGGTGTGGGTGTGGGAGGGTGTGGGGTGTGGGTGTGGGAGGTGTGGGGTGTGGGAGGGTGTGGGGGTGGGAGGGGGTGGGGGGGGGGTGGGTTTGTTTGATGGTGTGTGCGTGTAGGTGTGTCTATCTTACTTACACATATATATTGTGCACAGAATGTGTGTGTGTGTTTATAAATATATTTTATAATACATACATACATATATATATATATATATATATATATATATATTATATATATTATAATATATATTATATATATCTATATATATATATATATATATTATATATATATAATATATATATATATATATATATATATATATATATATATATATATATATATATATATGTATGTATATGTATATGTGTATACCCTCTATATTCTGTGTATATATACATATTATATCATATTTATGCATATAAGTTGTTACTCATCTCTATATCTATCTATACACACACACAAACATATATGTACATATATATATATATATATATATATATATATATATATATATATATATATATATATATATATATGTATATATATATATACATATATATATATATATATATATATATATATATATATATATATATATATATTATATTGTGCATGCATATCAAATTCTATATGTATGCAAATATGTGAACACCAGTTTCCTCGCAACGACGACGCCTCCGCCGCGCCCAGAGCCGCCCTCACGCCCTCTCTCTCTCCCCCGCAGGTCAAGATCTGGTTCCAGAACCGCCGCATGAAGTGGCGCAACTCGAAGGAGCGAGAGCTGCTGGCCTCCGGCGGCACGCGCGAGCAGACGCTGCCCACCAAGAACAACCCGAACCCGGACCTCTCCGACGTGGCCGAGGACCGCGCCAGGACCACCTCGTCCTCGTCGTCGACCTCCTCGAAGGACGAGCTGAGGCCGGGCTCCGAGGGCGGCAGCGGGGGCATGGTCGAGGAGCACCACTTCCACATCGTCGCCAAGGACCACCCTCACTTCTCCTCGAGGGGGGACGAGGGCGACCTCCCGCTGCAGCAGGGCGGGGGAGGGGAGGGAGGGGGCGGGGGCGGCGGCGGGGGCGGGGGGGGGCTGGACCTGTACCGGCGGCCCCCAGCAGCTGCCCAGCCCGGCGCCCTCGAGCCTCCCGGGGAAGATCCAGATCAAGGACCTCACCCGCCTGTCCAGCTTCGCCAAGCAGGGCGGGTTCGGCTTCCCCGCCTACCAGGACGCGGAGGCCGACTACTCCGACGAGGACATCAACGTCACGGACAACAACGAGGACAGTGACAATGACAACGATTAGAGGGAGAGAGAGAGAGAGAGAGAGAGAGAGAGAGAGAGAGAGAGAGAGAGAGAGAGAGAGAGAGAGAGAGAGAGAGAGAGAGAGAGAGAGAGAGAGAGAGAGAGAGAGAGAGAGCCGCTCGTGCACGACTGCCATTTATACACAAGTTTATAGACGTGTGTAGCCGTGGATAGTTGACACAACGACGTAGTGTGTTTGTGCCAAGTGTCTTCGGATACAGACAGTTAAAAGGAACATCACAGTGTCGTCAGAATGTAACCTTTTCACTTGGATATTGTGCCCACCTTTTAAACCGAATGATGTGTGAACGCTGCCATATCCGACTCCTCTTATCCAGACATTCTGCTGAAAAAAACATATATACGAAAAGTATCCAACCATTAGCTAGAAAATGAAACCCGCACGAAACCAGACTTCCTGGAGGAAACCTTCTCGCATTCTCTCCAACTCTGGCTGCAACTCGGGTGCCTCGCGACCTGCATCCCGACGGCGACGGAAAAAATCCCAGATAATGGCCTTTGGTAGTCGGACCTTCGCAGACCAAGAGAAACGCGGCGAGCCACCTCAAGACCTCTCAAAAAGGACTTCAAGGAATATTTCCGACAGAGAATATTTCAGACAGAGAGAATATTTCAGACAGAGGGACTATTTCAGACAGAGGGAATATTTCAGACAGAGAGAATATTTCAGACAGAGGGGATATATTTCAGACAGTGAGAAGACCGTTTGGTTGTGTGCGTCGCGAGCCACGGACTCAG